GTTCACATTTGCTTTACCGCGGGATCAAGAGAGAAGTGCTCGGCCGAGGGTTTTCTGACTAGTCTCCCCTTTCTTCCGCCATGCGAGCGAGGAACTTTTGAGGCGGCACATCCGATCCAAATGCGGAGGGAGGCTTTAATAAGGTAACGGTGGATACGAAATAACACTCATTCAGTTCTCCTATGTGCACGGTTATCTACGCGTCAGTCGCACTAATGGCGGCGCACTTATTAATAAGAGGGGCGTTAAGAACATCCGTTATTTGTGACCCTTTTTCCGGGGTTAACAATGCGTAGATAAATGCGTGTTTGGGTGGTTTAAGTTTAGGCATTAGCGAAAATTGACAAGAGTTATTCATAAACTTAACTTTTCCTTCTTTTTGTTTGTTTGTTTGTTTGTTTGACAACTTCTTGTATCGGTGTAAGGCGGTACGTAATACACACTTTAGTGACATTAACACTACACGGAGAAAAAAACTTCGTGCGTGTGACCCGAAGTTTAGGTCATATGGATCTCTGAAGTTTTCGGATTGAGCATCTGAACACTTACGGTCAAGCTGCTGAGGTTTGGATAACACATCTGAAACTTCAGTTCTTACATATGAAGAACTTCGGTTTTCACATCCGAACAACTTCGGTACTCACATCCGAAAAACTTCGGAATTCACATCTGAAGTACTTCAGGTGTAAGAACTGGAGTTTCTGATGTGTGATCCGAACCTCGGCAGCTAGACCTAAAGTGTTCAGACGCTCAATCCGAAAACTTCGGAGATCCATATGACCTAAACTTCGGGTCTAACGCACGAGGTTTTTTTCTCCGTGTAGGTAATACTTAGTTTTTAAATGTCATTGAATAAAATGACAGGAGGGGCTGGGCCCGGAGGAAATGAATCATTCGTTTTTTTGGGGAAACGGAAACTCCCTTCAGTTTAGTGAGTATGCGATCCGCAAATGTGCGCACCCCTTGTGCCCGCCAGCACCTCAGGCCCTTGAGCGCTAATCCGACCTTGGAGCTTACTCAGAAGCTCATGGGATGGATATGGGAAATGCTGTTGAACTATCTACCCAACGTTCCTCGTATTTTCATCTGGAGTGAATGATTCCATGATTGGCATTGCCGTTTTCCAATAAATCTTCTTGATTGAAGTGAGAATATTTGCAGTAACACTTGGGTGTTGAATTCGTGAGCGTCTCAGCGCTCATCGAGAGAAATGTAGTTCTGGCTTGAGGAAACATGCCTCTCATCCTCAACTTTCAATTCGAATTCGTCGGATCACAAAACTTTCTACCCTGCGACGCTTGCATTTCAAACGCAAAACTTTAATTACGTGCGTGAGATGGAAAAGTATCGGACTACTTTCAACGACACGAACAACCTTCAAAGAAACGTTTTGAGCTGACATCTGACATCGGGCCACAGTCCACCGGAAATACGTTTTCAGTGAGCCGCTATTGACTTGGGGTTGATATTACTTCAGGCCAAGAACATTCGTAATTTACACCAATAATATCCTATCCTTCCGAGTATGTTTCATGGAAGGTTCAATAAATGCTTTGAACGTGTATCTCGCCATTGTTCATTAAAATAACATTATAATTAAAAACGCGTGAAAACCTTATTTTGAGTAGAGTAGAGTTGGCATATTCATCAAACATCTGTATTATACGGGCTCATTGCACTATTTTATTAACAAATACTTTTCATCAACCACCATCATGCAAACTAGCGCCGTGACTATTAAGTGCAATAATATTTTAAGCCGTGCGTGATTTTCTTCACTTTCACTGGACCCAAGTGCTTTCGTCCTAAAATTTCGTAAGTTGGTATCAAGCAAGTGAACAACGGTGATCAATTTAGGATCAAATGACATTGAAACTTTCAACGTCAGCGATAAAGAATTGTTGTTTTACTTGGAGTCAGCTGTTTTTCATTACCGTATATCCAGTGCGCGCATCAAGATTTTGCACCCGAAACTGCTTTCCAATACACTCTGCATTCATGAAAAGAACTTCTTTCTCTATAAATTGGCAATACCACCAGTAACTCAATCTGGCCACGTCCGCAGTAGACTCAGTGCAAATTGAAATTTTTTTTTCACTCGCGATCGCTTTTTATTCTTGTCTCGTGCCTGGGGGATGCTAACCCCGCTGCATGATAAATCTACCTCTCAACTTTGCCAACGGATATTTGCTTAATAGGTATTTGGCATTTTACCTCTCCAGTTCTACTCTCAGCCTCGTCCAATGTACGAGAACTAAACTCGACCAGCGATTTTCGCTCTTTGTAAAACTTTCTTTGCCCATTAATTTACACCCTCGCAGCGGAATCGGAAGGATACGTCAGTTAATTTACGAACGTCATTCGTGCACAATTCTTGTGTGTATGCACGAATCTTCTAACCCTTTACGCGTATACTTAAATTTTGCCCGGATTGGACGAGTGTTCTAATCAGCTTCTGAATTGATCTCTTGAATCGGGATCGGGAACAATTCTTATGCACAGATTTTAAGAGAAACCTATGAAAAACCCAAACCCTGAAATTAACAAAGTTATATAAGATCGAGATAAGTAGCTGACATTTGTGAAGTCGCTCACTTTGGCACATCAGAGTAGGCAGACTTCAGACGAGTAACATATTCTGAAATTGATTCGTCAGATTTTTGTGCAACTTCCCTGAACTTGATGGCTTCACTATGCTTGTTAGTAGAAGCAATAAGATGATCGGTCAACTTTTTGGTTATGTTATCAAAAGAAAAAGAACTTACGTTCGTGGGATAACAGATATTATTCAAGGTCGAGACCAGATCCGAGCTCATGTGAATGCGAAGGTAGCTTGCAAAGTTTTCATCGGGGATGTTGCTAAGTTGCAGCTTGAGTTTGAATCTATACGGCCCATATCTTGTGTCTCTGCAATATGTTTTCGCGATTTCAGTACGGCATAACGGCCAGCATTAAGTGTTTAGACATATTTCTGCGCGGGTTCAGTGCCGTATCACGGCCCTTATCAAGTGATCCTGCAATATTTTTGCGCGGTTTCGGTACAATGAGAAAAAAAAGGTCATCTCCTGCCATTTCTACAAGTATAATCCGCAGAAGCCGTGCTATGCAGAGCAAAACCACGTTAGCTTTTTAATTTTTTCACAGAGTCTAAATTGAACTGCTTTAGCTCTGGGCAGACGTTGTAATTCAACCGTGATGTAAGTACAGGGTCCCGGCTATCTCATAGGCTTGACGGGGTAGCTATCACTCCGTGTAACTCTTCATAAACCATCCTTAAGATCTAAAGCAACGACTTTCAGAGAGCAGAAAATGATGCATTAACTAGCGCACTTGAAGCACTTACCTGGCTTTGTTTTACTATTTAGGGTGTTTTAATCTGGTGTATTCTGTCTGGGCGTTAACAATCCACGAATCACAAAAAAACACGAAACACAAACAGCAAACAGTTCAACAACTGACAACAGGTGGCCATTATCGTTTATCGTATTATTATCAGCCGACCGGGTGTAAGTAATAAGTACGGTGCCATATTGGAACACCGAACGCTCGGCTCACATGACAGAATTATTTTTTCAGTGTTCTGCAATACGGCTCAGTTTTGCGCCGTCCAAGTGCTATACTGCCGTGCCAAGGAAAAACGCCGTATGAGCCTTCAGGCGTTCTCAAATATCCTCTGGCAAATCACTGAATTTCAGGAAAATTTTTGAATATTTTTCCGCCAATTTCTCAGATAACTTTGTTCATAATTTAAAGTGTCTGAATATTTCCAGACAAAATAATCATAAGTCTCCGCAAAATGAACATTCTATCCGTGGAAATTTGGCAACTCTCGAATGTTCATACGGCGTTCTTCCTTAGCACGGCAGTACATCACTGCCAATTTCAAGTTTTTCCGCAATATTTTCTGGCGGTCTCCGCACTGTTTCCCGCCCGATACGAAGTGGATTGCATTTTGCAAAAAGGAACCACTAGCATTGCAATGATGCTAAGACCGTGCAACTTCATCTTTTGCAATCAAATCGTGGAAATCGTGAAAAACTAGGAAATCTAGACGGTAATTTTTGTCTTAAATTTACAGTTTTTAGCGAGTCAAATAGAAACTATTACCGGGTATTCGGGTTTTTCCTCCAAGACAAAAGAAGTTCCTACACTGAGAAAAAACTATGGTTTATAAACCTATTAGAGGTAAATATGGAACACCTATAATAGTCGTAAATAAACTAATGATTCTCGGTCTGTGAACCATACTAAGGTCTCTGTACCTAATTAAGGTACCCCGTACCATAACTAAGGTATATGTGCTATTATTATATGTAGAGGTACTACTTTTAGTGGTGTTCCATATTTACCTCTAATAGGTTTATAAGCCATAGTTTTTTCTCAGTGTACTTCCCTTGTCTCGACCGAGGCCAATATAACGTACTCATCTATCCAACTTTTCAATGCTCTCCCTTTAGACATTAAGAACTCCCTCCGATCCCATGACGTTCACGCTTTTCTAAGGCGAATAAAAAGGCTAATGTTGCAGAAAGCCTATTATGACATTAGTGAATCTCTCAGTACCTAGACATTTGAGTAAGTAATGTGAATATACATTGTTTATTAGTTTGTTATACTGTGTAATTGACCTGTACAATGGCTCTACCAGGAGCTTACATTTCTGTACCAAAGATCAAATAAATAAATAAATAAATAAATAAATAAATAAATGAATTGCATTTTGCAAAAAGGAACCACTAGCATTGCAATGATGCTAAGATTGTGCAACTTCATCTTTTGCAATAAAATTGCGGAAATCGTGAAAAACTATGAAATTTAGATGGTAATTTTTGTGTTAAACTTACAGTTTTTAGCGAGCAAAATAGAAACTATTAATGGATAATCGGGGTTTTCCTCCATGACAAAAGAAGTTGCACAATCTTAGCAACATTGCAATGCTAGTAGTTCCTTTTTGCCGAATGCAATCCAAGCGTGCCTGCAATATATCTGTGCGGTTTCAGCAGTACATTACGGCCGACCGGGACGCGGCGACGAGTTGAGGACCGGAGCGAGAGCGGAGAAGCGAGGCCGCGGAATCGTGTTGGCGTGGCGCTCTATGAGACTGCTCCTTCGGCGGAGCGTGGTGGAAGACGCGGATGAGGCGAGGATGTCCGGCGGGAGCGCGCTCATCAAGGAGGACCTGCCGGGCTCGTTCCTGGTCAAGTACCTGGGGACGCGGGAGTCGCGGGGTCTCTGGGGGATCAAGCACACCCGGAAGCCGGTCGACGCCATGGTGGCCGCCGCCAAGGAGCCCGGCGTCGCCCTCCCCATGCTCACGCTCACCGTCCAGAAGGAGGGCATCCGCATCCAGGACGCCGCCGCCCCCGCCAACGGCCCCCACCAGTTCTACCCCATCGAGACCATCTCATACGGAGTTCAGGTATGTACGTATGGTTGGTTAGTAGATACGTTTATTTGGTGCTTTTCACAATAATTTAGCCATTAACACCTTAGAGGAGAGATCCAAATATGGTACAGAATTTAAAAATTTAAAAAGTAGGGGCCACAATAGGGGTTTTCTTTTTTTGATCGGTGGTACCGCCGATCACCAAACTGTGTTCGTTAATTGATCAGTCGGCGCTGACGTCACGATCGGTGGAAGTACGACCGGTGGATTTGGTACCACCGATCAGTGATCGGAGTGATCGGCCATTTCTTCGATCACAGCTCCACCGGTGGAAACCCTAACCTCTCTCGGTTCGCCTGGAAGCCTACTTTTTATGTGCGCCCGTTCTGCTTCTGCAGTTTATTCCGTGTGGTATTTACTTCTCATCCTCATGGCAGCTCAGAGTCACGATCAAGATCAGGAAGAAGTCCTCCTTCAACCCGTCATGGGGGAAGACGGGAAAATCAAGAAAGCTGTCAACACGTGTGGCGGATGGAATCTCCTTTTCCGTAACCCAATCGGTATGTTTCCCCAAGTTACCTTTCGTATTATTATTTCGTATATGTCCCTGGAATCCGTCGTCCATTAGCTGAGGGATAATGTTTTCGACAAATCCTTGAATTTTGACTCGCCTTTGCCGTTCAAAGGTTCCAAGCATCTCTAAGAATAGGGCTTCATCGTCCGCAGAACTGCTATCTTCGCTGCTATCATGGAGATCTCTGTTTGAAGAGAGGAAAATATCCATTACAATGTTTTCCATCTTGATTGAAAACTGATTAAATACAATAATGAAAAACTGCAGGGATTAAAAGATAGCGCTTATCACATGACAGCCACAGCACACCGAATAGATGAGGTTAGAAATGTTGTTTACATTGGTGGGAAGTGCGTTCTTAAACTCTCGACTGATCGCGGTCGATTGCATATCAAAATGGCGACCGGTGGAATACCACCGGTGGTTTCACCGATCAAAAAAAGAAAACCCCTAATGTATGTATGCATGCATGCGATGGAAACTCTGCCGTTTGAAATTTTTACCTCCGGAGCAACGCTCAAAGGCGATCAGCCAACTGTAGCTCAAGTTTCTCCCACAATTCGTCGTAGGCAGGCACTCTGCCTCTGCCCATCCTACCCTTGACATTCGATCTACAGCGAGCCGTGTATCTCTGTCGGCAGGATCTGGTCTACACGCGAGTGTTCGCGATGATCATCGTGAAGGACGTGCTGAGCCACCGCGCCCGCGACGCCGGGCACCCGTTCGTCTGCCACGCCTTCGTCTGCGAGAGCCGGCAGGTGGCGCGGAAGCTGACCTACACCCTGGCCACCGCCTTCCAGCTCTACAGCCGCCGGATCCGGGTCGGCGCCGGCGGCAGCGTCACCAAGTTCGCCATCGACCTCCGCTCGCCGCAGGAGATGGAGTCCGACCTCCGCATGCAGGACTCCGAGGCTTGACCGCCGTCGCGGATCCAGAGCTCGGTGCTGTCGCATCGGAATGGGGCAAAGCCGGCATTGTGTCCGGCTCCGGGCCGATGATCGGAACTCAACCGAGGGCGCGACAAGCCAGAAGGCTCATTGTTGAAACTGATGGACGAAGAAGACCAAAGGAATATGGAAGGATCCTATTGGTGGAAGCGGGTGGTTGCAATCACTGGAAAAAAAAACACATTGGATCCAGAGTCCAGACTCTTGAAAACATTGACAAGAAGAAATACTCTTGATTCGATCGGATTTTTGCTTGAATCAAAACGAAATCCGCTTAAATTAAGAGGCTTGGTTCCTGATTTAAACTAGACTCTGATTGAATCAAGAGTACTTTTTCTTGTCGATGTCTTTAAGAGTCTGGACTCTAGATCCAATGTGTTTTTTTTTTCCAGTGATGGACATAGGAGGTAGATAATACGCGATATAACGGCAACCTACGAGAGACCCCATAGTTTGTCTATCATTTACTCTCTTAGTCTATCAGAACCACTCATTTCAACCTATAGGATCGCTCAGCGCTCCCTAAGTCTTCCTTGCCTATCGCTTTGTCTATAAATTTCAAAGATCAGCATGTAGGGCAGTGGGCCGATTTTTGAAAGTCTAAAGCAGCCTTATAAGACATCGGATTGTGATGCATTTTGCAATTTGTGTATGCTTAGTTAAGGTAGGGCTACGTCCTGTCGTGTCGGGCCGACACAGTTTCGATAATTAGTTTCAATCAATAGTTCAGATTTAATTCAAACACACGTTAAAAATACAGTTACAATACAGTTAATACAGTATTCAAAATACAGTTTAAATGCACCAACTACGCCACAGCGATCGACGTCACTGCGGCAAGAATTGGGAGACGCAATGCCGCCTTTGCCTCTATGTATTCTGGCCGCATTTCAAGTTACTTAGCGTATATTTCCAAGGAAGAACCATTCTTTTATTCCTAAATCAAGCGTTTTTCGCATGAAATTTGTCTGAAATTGAATTAAATTGTCAAAAAACCACGTTCATCTACGATGAAATTCTGAATAAATCACCTACTAACTCAACTTGCTCATCACCACCTGTGATCTACCCTTATTTCATCTTCACCATCACGACACATCGCTTAAGCAAACCGACGATACCTTAGCTCGTTGAAAGTATTCCAATGGTTCGCCTCGCTATATCCATGAGCTATGTTTTCCTCGGGTAAAGGACAAGGAAGAACGTACATGAAATGGAAAATGAAGTGAAGAATATCTATCTTCATCAATGTAACGAATCAGTTTGGAAGAGAATCAGGTTTTTAGTTCTCCCCGCGGGATTGCAAGGTTTGCATCTGACGAGCGCAGTAATCGTCCTTTCCCATGACGATAGACATATTTGAGATGTATATTTCTTTCCCGTCTGAATTGTTTGGCCTCTCATTTGACAGAACCTTGGTTTTGCGCCAACATGCCCAACCGCGCTCTAAAAGAGATTTATAAGTCATGAAGGCTTGAGCCCAAGCACAATCCAGGCTCCATTTTGACAAAGGGTTCGATTGCTGTTTTTCGATTTTGAGTTTGTGCAGAACATTCTTTCAGAAGAGCAGAAAAATCACTGAAATTTTCAAAAAATGATGTTAAGGAGTTTTTTCTTGTGGGATATAATCGTCCATAAGTATAATAGCATATGCAAATAATTAACTTACGTGTCCATTACGTGTTTCACTTTCAACAAATTTGTATAAATTGCTGTCCATTTTAACCATGGTGCGCCTAGTTTTTTAAACACCGGGATTCATCAGGGAATGAAAATTTACCGGGAAAATCAGGGAATCTCTTCCCGAAACCGGGAATATCTTCTCCGACCACCCAGGGATCATTACGTCATGCATTGGGATTTCCATGGATGTGCATGTTGTATACAGGGTGATCCAAAAGTCCCTTCCACCCCCTCTAACTTTTTACCTAATTGAGGTAAAGATTTGAAACTTGGGGGATATTCCTAGGTTAAAGGGAGCTACTTTTTGGCCCCCCTAAAATTTTCAGGGGGGCCCCCCTTGGGGGGCAACGGCCCCCAACTTTTAATTTTCAAATAGGAAGACCCCCTTTGTGATAGCTCGTTTGAAAGAGCATACAAAAAGAAAACTTTTCGCGCAAACCCGAAGTCAATATCTCAAACCGTTTCAAAATGGCGGCCGGTTAAAGTTCAAAATGGCCGAAAATTCACACCGGTTATTTGTCGATGGATTTGCGCGAAAATCGGTATGTAGGGGTATTTTGACACGAGAAAAACGAATTTGACGTTAGATTTTTAAAAAAACCGAAATTTCCAAAATGGCCGCCGGTTAAAGTTTAAAATGGCCAAAAATTGTCACCTCGGTTTTTTGCTGATGGATTTGCCTAAGACTTGGAATTTGAGAGTATTTTGGCATAAGATAAACAAATTTGAACTTAGATTTCTAAAAAAATCAATTTTTGGTCATTTTGAACTTTAACCGGCGGCCATTTTGGAAATTTCGGTTTTTTTTTAAAATCTAACGTCAAATTCGTTTTTCTCGTGTCAAAATACCCCTACATACCGATTTTCGCGCAAATCCATCGACAAATAACCGGTGTGAATTTTCGGCCATTTTGAACTTTAACCGGCCGCCATTTTGAAACGGTTTGAGATATTGACTTCGGGTTTGCGCGAAAAGTTTTCTTTTTTTATGCTCTTTCGAACGAGCTATCACAAAGGGGGTCTTCCTATTTGAAAATTAAAAGTTGGGGGCCGTTGCCCCCCAAGGGGGGCCCCCCTGAAAATTTTAGGGGGGCCAAAAAGTAGCTCCCTTTGACCTAGGAATATCCCCCAAGTTTCAAATCTTTACCTCAATTAGGTAAAAAGTTAGAGGGGGTGGAAGGGACTTTTGGATCACCCTGTACATGGAGCATCTATCCAGTCCTTATGATCAGATGACATCATCTTCCCGACTGGGGTCCGTTTTGAAGCAACTTCATCTTTGAAACAAAGACATGGACAATGTCTTTGTTTCTGCAGGATTCAAAGCATCTTCCTGTTCAATAGTCTATTGAAATTAAAAATCAAACGCAAATCACAATTCCAGTACATTTCAAGAAAGTATCTTTGGCATGGCACATCTTTCAGTATTTCCTGGAATTATAGAGGACCTGGCAGTTGCAATTTATTGTGCCTGCTCATTTTATTAAGTGTGTACTTATTATTAATAGGATACACCGGTAAAAAAAACCTCTTGGGCCAATGCCGCATTGCATTTACTTTAGAGTGCAGTTTCTTGTCGCCGGATTTAAGAGTCTTGAACTCTTGTTTAAAGCGGATTTTGCATTGAAACAAGAGTACAGACTCTTAAATCCGGCGACAAGAAACTGCACTCTTGAACCAAGAGGTTTTCTTTACCAGTGTACATAATCATAATTATGAAATAAGTATGAACTACAAACCCACACAAGCATATGGGGGGTACAGTAAGGGTCAAATCTAACTTACCTCGCTGTCCAGTTTGACACGAAACTGGTCAAGTAGAAGGTTGGTTTGACTGGTTGCCGTTTTTGATTGTAACTGTCACCGTTTTCAAAGGTTTCGGCTCATGTTTAAAGAAATGATATGTATGTAACTTGAACGAAACGAAAACTTCACGGCCGCACAACCATGTTTGTAGCCTAATTGTGAGGTTATTGCAACGCAGTTTTGAGCCAATCAGAGAGCTGCTTGATCAGTCAACGAACATCAACCCAATAATGTTCCAAATTGCACCAGGTAAGTAAGTTCAAATAAACTAAAATTTTAATCCACTTTGTAAACTAAACATCAACGATTTAAGTCACTGCAATTCATACAAGTCATAAACAACCCGTGTATGAGAATCTAACATTCCAACATCTGAAAAGAATAATCGCAATTTAATTCTTCGGCAAGATGTGTAGTTGATATTGCAGTTACAACTGTTGAGAACGTTGGACACATCATCTGAAACGGTGTAAAACAAAACGCCTTTAATTGAATTACATACCTTTTTCTTTGAATTAAAGTGTTGATAGTGAACGGGTCTAAATGAAGGTGCTTCAGACAACTGTGGAAAATTTACCGTTGACGAAACGGTCCAATTTTGACGAATATTATCTTTGGAAAAACGCTGTCAGTTATTTTCTATTCATGATGTTCGGTTAGTAAATAAATAAATTAAATACATGAATAATAATAAGTGAAATGAATATATTGAACAAATAAATGAATGAACGAATTAACCAACCAATTTAATTAAAATTTAAAGTAAGTAGACAATTTTTTGACGAGAAGAAATAATACCTGATGAAATATCGATGTGATATCCCGCCAAAAAATCCTTAGGGGGTGCCATTCTGACGGTATTTGTAAACTAACTTTGGAAGCCTCGATGATGATCCAAACTTGGCACCGCTTTCTAGGTGGTATCTTTTTTAAAAACTTTTGTTGCCAATTTTGCATTCGTATTTTCTTTTCAGGGTTGCGTTTCGGATGTATTATTTTTAAATACTTATTTTTTTTTAAAAAAAATTGTATTGCGATCTTTGCACTACAGTTCATTATCACCTGAGACATTTATACGAATACGTCCAGCGTTACGATTAAATTTGATTAATGACAGCGCGTTGCCAAGCAACCGCTTTACAACAGGTCGACGCATTTCTTTCGGGCCATAGATGGTTAAAGCGGCTAGATGGGCGAAATCTTGCCGAGCAGGAAGAGATAGAGCAGACCAAGCATGCATTACCTGATCAGTGGTAGGCCAGTCAACAGGATCTATCAGGTTAATTAAGACGAGCGGGTAATTGATTCCGTACTGTCTGGTCACTTTGAGCTGGGCCACTAACTCAGTAGATAGCTTGGCGACTTCCTTGTGTGCCGTTATTGTATGCGTGCACGCATAATCTGGTATAAGTCCACTTAAAAGATCGAGATATGTCAATTCTCCCAATAATATCGGTAATGCTGCCGTTAGCGCTTCAAGGCGCTGGAGTAGTTGAACCCGTTTACTAAAATGTAAGCCGCCATACTTTCGGATCAAAGCTTGGTAGTCAAGCCTGTAACTTTGCCAGGCTGCGGGATTAGCTCCTAAGAACGGATGGTCCCATAAGGATAATCACAGACTAAAATTTAGAA